AGCCCCACAACAGTCTAATAAAACTTGACAATTAAAAAAAATTCCTGTGGAGGGTTCCTGAGGTACTGAGAAGTGGGTGATTTGAAACAAGCAACAGCCACACGCCGAAAGTGAGCCATTAAAAACGCCTCAAAGTTTCCCTTTTCTCCTCAATTGCCAGGATGTGCCCATCAAGCCTACCGCATTTCTGAGGAGACAGTCTATTTTTTCCTTTGACCAGAGGGAAAGAAATCATTATTGCATGATTAGTGGCTTCAGTTAGGTGAGAACAACAGTGGCAGGGAAGGTGGTGAGGATGAGCTGTATTAATTACCCAACACTTGCTGGCAAGATAATTTTATCAGTGGTTTGGCCACTGGTAAGTTGCAGCTTTTGATAAAAGTGGGTAAGTTCTTAGCTGCACGAAAATGTGAGGGAAGGGATGTGTCAGATGAAGTGCATCTCATCAGCTTTTCTCTGACAAACCAAATTCATTCCTTATGTAATTGATAACGGCCTTGGCCAATTATTTCACACATTACAATACACAGAGGCCCCCTTTACAGGTTTTGCAGGGCTGTAATTAGCTATGCTAATATCCCCTTTATTGGCCCTAATATTGCTCAACACCTTTTGCCATCCTGGAACCCACTAGAGCCCCATGGCCTGTCAGGACCGCTGATTATTGAGAAGGATAGCTTTAATCAAACATAATTGCAGTTAATTTTTCTCTCCTGCTCTCTGTTGCCAGCGTCTAATGCCACGGACTCCTTGATATTCCATTAAATTACAATTAAACAGCCTCCTTTGTTTCTGATTGTCCTGAACAACACCACAAAGTTCTGTAGCCGTTTAGAGGAGAGCTGTTTGGTCCTAATTGCCTGCTAGCTCACAAAGGGCCAATTTGCACAATACCCATGTAGAATTTAAACAGTTCATAATGTAATGGATATTACACAGGAGCCTAACACTACAATTAAAATGATTTTCATCAGATAGAGAAGCTCTGGTTAATCAGCTTCATAAAAGTAAATATAAATGAACTAATTCATAGCTTAAACACACAGAAATGGAGCAGACTTGGAAATTAGTTACTGCGGTAGGGGTTTGCCCCTTATTGTATGACACCTAGCTCGGGCTCTAGTTCGAACGGTGGATGCCATTATTTGTTTTAGCCCAGTTTAAAGTGTCCTCATTCCACTGCTCTGTGCTTTCTGTTAGGACTGGAGTTTACAAAAAAACTCTTAACTTCCCTCACTTCCCTCGCACTGGATGCAGGGGTGGCCCCAGGTCCGTTTAGAGGAATTGAATAACTGCCCAGCGGAAATGAGGGCCTTGGGATTTCTAGGTTCAACTCAAGAGACTGGGCCCAGTCCCAGCTTCTCCATCAGTGTCCTCCCAGGCAACGGCCCGACTGTACTCTTCGGTCGACATTCACAGGGCCCTCATGAGCTGGAAGAGGAGCCAAGCCTCCGGGAGCCAGCCCTCCCAAGATGGAGCCAGGGTGCCCATTGGGCGCTCTGTCCTCATCCCTGCACACTGTGAAAGAGGAAGCCTCATTTCGAAAGTCATGAGTTCACACCTTTCCCCCTTCTAATCGCTCCTGAGAACTTTGCAGGATTCTGTAAGCTGTTTCCGAGTAGAATATAACCGGGAAGCTGCGACTGGTGTGTAGCAGTTTGTCTTTGGCTGCTGTCTTCCCCTCTGCCTGGGAGAAACAAGTAAATAAAGCCCATATTTCAAGCTTGATTTACTCTGGTACCTACTGTGAAAGATGATGACTCTTTAGGGAAATAAAGACAGGGTCAGGGAATTAGTGCACATAATGGTCATTTTGATGCCGGGCCAACAGATGCAACGGGAGACACCCTGTACACAATTAAGCATAATGTACTAATGACAGGTTAGAATTTTTATCGCCTCTTTGCGATCGAGCAGCAAATCCATGTTTAGCAGTAATAAAGAGTTTATTGGTGCTAAAGCCAAAGATTTTCTGACATAGGAAAGATTTTTCCTTTCATAACAAGAGTATTAAATTCTTTGTGTACCAGACTCTGGAAGTGAGATATGTAAAGTGGTTGTCAGATATTTCTTAGGAAAAAGCCAATTAAAGGGTAATTGAGTAAAGGATGAGAATTACCATTTGACTTCACATGTTGGGCGTTCAATCTCCTCACCCCCTCCCCAAACATTGTCATAATGCATTTCCCCAAGCACTTCCTCGTGGAAGGTATACACTTGAACCATGCATGATTGTACACAGCGTCAGCAGTCACGCACCGGCTCTACAGTGCCAGCCACCTTGCGAAGGTTTAATTGAATCCCTGAGTTAAACATCACCAAAACCAGAGTAAGAAGTAAGCACAGAGCTCCTTTCTCTCTGCCGAGACTTCCCCTCTGTCCGTCCTGACAGATGTCCCAAGAACCTGGCGTGGAGCCACTTGACGATTGTGCTTACTGTATTTGTGCCATTGGGACCTGTGTGCTTAAAAAGGGCTCTTTCTCTCCAGGGTCAGTCAGGGCAGTCTTTCTCAAGGACTTGCACTGATCTTTAGACAGTTTGGATAGAAGCAGACACGGTCATGGCCACATCCAAAATAGAGACGGAGAGTGTCGTGTGTATGCATGCGTGAGCGTAGGTGTGCGTGTGTACCTGCATCTGCCCCAGAGCCAACTCTGCCTGTGCTCAGTGTGCTTCTGCGCTGCAGCACCGAACCTTGTCCCGCTAATTTCTGCAGTTGATGACAGTTAGGGCCCGAGAATGCCAAACCATGCCCGTTGTGACAATGCTGGGTGAGGGCTACATGGGTGATCTTCAAAACCTGCTCTGCTGTCTTGGAGGTGAAACGGTGGGCTGGCTAAAGAGACCTCCAGGAATTTAAAGACACCTCCTCCAGAGGGGGGAAGAAACCTTTCGTTTCACAAACAAAGCTTCTGTAGACGGCTCCATGCAGGTACATTTGCAGACGAGCAGCTTCTCAGGCCGGCGACTGCGCCAAAGATTAGCTGGGTGGTAATGTGGGGTATAATTGCACCGTGTGGCTGTCCCCGAAGTGAAAACCTAATTGCCTGACAGGACGATAACTTTGTGGCGCCCTCACCTTGTTAGGCCCTTTCTGATGCAGTTCAAATGCAGTGTGGCCGCAGGTGCGCCTAATTTACCTCGCTGCAGAACGTGTGGAGTTTAATTGCACAGTGGTTGTTAGGAAAAATTGGTGGGTGGAATATCAAGTGACTTACTGTATGCTGATGGCAGATGGTGTTAAGAGGCATTGTGAGCTAAGTGTATAGGTGAGGTGAGTTAATAAAAGATGTAAATTCTGGCCTAAAATAGTGAGGCCTCGCAGTATGCAAGAAAATTTAATTAAGTGGCCACCATTCTTTTCCCTATCAATTGGATTTTCTTCTGCCCTGGTGAAAAGTCATCCAGGAGGTGCTGGGAATGCAGTTACAGAAATGAGTCTTTTTATTTTCTGATGGTATAATTGCCAACGAGGAACCTTGAGTGGAAGATTGAATGCAAGAAAATCATGTGAAACTTTATAAAAAATTAATAATCACCAAGTAGGACAGAAGGTATTTTGGGATAAAGTAGAGAAAGGTGTTTTGTGTATATCCTTGCTGGACAGAATGCTTAGCCTCCTGAAGTGAGTGGATATGTCAGCACAGAGACCCCACCTCTGACTCAAGATGGATGTGGCCTTTTCAAGTCGAGGCAAAAAGTTGAGTGGGAATGAGATGCTCCCCACCCCACCCCACCCCACTTTCCCCGTGGGTGATGTTGCAGCCAGGCTTGCCAGGGTCCATGAGCTCAAACTAGAAGCCATCTCTCCTGCATTTGTCACTGGGCGTGTAGGAATGGGGAGGACAGCATGATGATGTTTTGGTCACAGCATCTCAACACACTGTCAGGACCCCTGAATCTTCACGCCGTGAGACGTAAGGGCAAGGGATGACAGGAAATAGAAACTGTGTTCACGTCTGGCCTGGCCTCTCCAACCCTGCCCGGTGGCTACTGCTCTCCTGCTCGCTGCTTAAGCCACGGTTTCATCACTGCATCAAGAATTAAGCGCTATGCCCCTCCCCACCCAATCATTCCTTTCCTCAAGAGTTGTACCTACTGTAACTTTTAAGTTCTGTTTTTAAAAGTGTGTTTGCTTAGGCAAGGATGTCATCTGGAGTTAGGGTCGCCAGATAAAATAGAGCATATCCAGTGAAGTTTCGCTCTCAGGTAAACAACAATTTTTTAGCGAGAGTATGTTTGGGGACATACCTATGTTAAAAAAATTATATGTTGCTTATCCAAACTCAAGTGTAACTAGGCATTCTCCATTTTTACTGGCGGAAGCCGGCAGCCATTTGGGGGGCAAACGTTTCCTCCGTGGTTAATGGTCAGACGTGCAAAGGTCCAGGCAAGAAATGGCCAACCCAACTGGGAAGTCACAGTTACTATTCTGTAGCTGGAAAAGCTATAACATCAAGACCCACATAAGTCACTGTTTCATGTGTGTAGATGTTCATGCAGGCCTGGACCAGGGCATGCTCTCCCTGCTTCTCCTGGAGTCCTCTCTCAATATTGTCCCCTAGAGGGCAGCTGGTGGGGAGCGGTGGGCTTGAGTCTCTACTCTTTCCCTTCCGACTGTTTTCTACAAAGTTTGTGTCTTTTGGCCGGGCGTGGTGGCTCAAACCTGTCATCCGGCACTTTGGGAGGCCTAGGTGAGAGGATTGCCTGAGCCCTTGGGTTCGAGACCAGCCCGGGCAACTTGGCAAGACCTCATCTCTACAATAAATCAAAAAATTAGCTGGGTGTGATAGTGTGCGTCCATCGTTCTGGCTACATGGAAGGCTGGGGTGGAAGGATGGCCAGAGTCTAGCAGGTCAACACTGGGGTGACCATGAGCGTGCCGCTGTCCTCCAGCCTGGGCAATGGCGTGAGTCTCCAACTCAAAAAAAAAAAAAAGTTTATGCCTTTTGTCTGATAACCCTAACAAATACTCTTTTTCTTTTTGTATTTTTTATAGATTCTTTCTAAAGTTTTTCCTCAAGTGCAATCAGAACTGTTTGAAGAATGCAGGCAACCCTCGAGATATGCGGAGATTCCAGGTATACATTTCTCAAAGTCCCGCAGACCGCAGTCCTGTCTTTTCCCATGATACGTGAATTCTCTGATTTTGCAATTGTCCGGGAAGTAAGCTTTAGTTATTTAGGGGCTTGGGAGCAAACTGGAATCGGCTCATTTGATCAAATCTGTAAATAAAATGCTTTTAAAATGCTCCCATATCTTCACTATGCCAGATTCATCGAGTCTCCTCATAGGCCACAAGAAACTGAAGTCAGCTTTGAAAAAATAGCCATGCTGAAGAGCTTCTTTAGGGAGTCATTGATTGATTGACTTTCAGTGGGGGAAGCCATAACACAACCTTTTGGGTATACTCCCGATCTCCGGTCCTCCTCATGAAGGGATCTGCGCCTGCTTGATACAGACTTCTGCCAATTCCAGAACGTTTTCCTAGCTTCAGCTTTCCTCCCTGGAGTTTTAAAGTGTTCTTCTTTCCTGAATTCCATGCCGAGTTGCTAGTCTGTTCCTGGACCCAGGCTAACGACTCTCTCTCATCTGCCTCAGAGGATTTCATCTAAAGAAAAGAGGGGGCAGTTTGTTGAGTTCAGGGATAAATTATGATAGAGCGCATATTTTTCTTGCCTTTGTTTGTGAATGATTAGGAGGATACTTCAGGGTAAAAGGTACTCTGTACTCATAATGGATCATTTTGCTGATCTTAATTGTAAAAATATTCTGGGCTGGGACACAAAACCACTGCTGGTGTACACCAACCAGAAAAGGATTTGGCAGCTAATGGCAATGACTAGTAGATTGAATGGAAGACCCAAGAACCAAATGATTTCTGTGTGGGATTGACGCTCTTTTTCTATCAAATAGCTTCAAGTGTTGTTTAGAAATTTCACATATGTTTCAGTCCTTTAGTGAAACACGCGACAGGCATCTGTCTCCATGCCTAGTCAACCCATCAGCAGAGGTACGCTCTTTGGACTCACACACAGTAACGCTCTGTAGCTGGGGACAGTGTTTCCTGCAAGCGATTGGGCCTGCTTCCATTTTTCATGCACCAGACTTCACGGAGCAGTGGTGATATTGATCCGTCTAAGCAGAGTGGAGGTCACACTGGGCTGAGGGGCTGCGTCCTCTTTGTCTCACCGATGACCGGACATAGCATCAGTCACAAGTGATCTCGTGGTCCACCGTGGAACCCGTAGTTACTAGAAGGACTTCCTCTGGTCTCGTTAGCTAATCTCCCTGCCGCTCAGAAGGTTTGACTGGACTTAAGACTATGTCAGAGTTTACGCAATGTTTTCAGCTTGTTTCACAATCTCAGCACCTTTCTATAGGTGCACTGCAGGGCTGGCCCAGACGGGAAACAAAACACAGCTTGCATGCTTTCTCTGCTGAACTGCACTCTTTTCCCTTGGTGACTGACCTGTATCTAAATGACAGAACAAAGACTGTCTTCTAAAATTTTTTAAAATTTAGTTTTATTTTTTGTTTCTTTTAACGTATCATAGTTTCAGAACATATCATGGCTTGAAAGGGTCACGTCTGCGCCCCAATATTAGTGATGTGTCTTTGCATCACACTTGGACGATGCCTTCCCAGAGTTCCTTCAGCGCCCAGGGCGGGGCTTGGCAGGTGAACTGCGAGGAGGGCACCTGGGTGAACAGGAACTGCCCCTGGATCCTCCAGACAGAGGCTGCCAGCCCCACTCATGGCACCAGAGCGGCAGCAAAGCCACCCGCCTCCTCCCGGGGCTCCCGAGGTCAGTGCCAATGGGCGGCAGTCAGAAAAAGAAGATGCTAAGATACCTGAAACCGGAGCTGGGGCACTGTGGCAGCACTTGCAACATTTCAAGGTTCAGACTGGTCTGATGTTGAGACCTCAGCATTCTTGGCAATGCCCAAGGGGAAGAGAACAGTCAAGAAGGCTGCCCCAGGTCGGGCACGGTGGCTCAAGCCTGTAAATCTCAGCACTTTGGGAGGCTGAGGCGAGAGCATTGCCTGAGCTCAGGGGTTCGAGACCAGCCTGGGCAACTTGGCGAGAACTCGTCTCTACCATAAAATCAAAAAGTAAGCTGGGCGTGGTAGCGCATGCCTATAGTTCCAGCTACTTGGAAGACTGAAGTGGAAGGATTGCCCGAGCTCAGCAGGGCGACGCTGTGGTGGCCAGGAGCGTGCCACAGTGGCCATGAGTGTGCCACTGCACTCCAGCCTGGGCAACAGAGTGAGACTGCGACTCCCAAAAAAAAGGCTGCCCCGGATGGGGTAGCCCTGGGGGGGGGGGGGTTGCAGTATGTGCTGCCCCCGCTTTTTCATCTTCCCGTGGAGCCCAATATGTGAAAAAAAAAAAAAAAAAGTCAGTCACTCACACATGTATGCATGCCTAAGTATGTAGCTTTGGCTTCTTTTAAAATCCCTTCAAATACTATTGATTTATTTGTGTATTTATTTTTAATCACTTCAATTCATTTTTAATTAGCTCATCAGTTTTATTTATTTTATTAGTTTTATTTTTTAGAGCAGTTTTTAGGTTTACAGAGTAATTCACAGAAAGTGTGGGATCTTCCATACACTCCACCACCCCACCCGGGGCACCCCCACAGTTCCTCTGTCATTAGTATCTTGCAGTGGCATGGTGTGTTCTTCACATCTGATGGACCAACATCGATATGTTGTTATTCACCAAGGCTTCCAGTAGCCTTGGCCTTTAATAGTGCATTTTACGTGGTGTGTGTTGTCTGGCCCTTGCAGAGAAGGTAGCCATTGGCCGGGGACCCCCTTCCGGTTCCCTACTCTCCCGCACCAGCCTCACAGTTCTCTAAGTGATCAGGGTTCTTTAGGGGTGCCCACCTGAAGACCCACCCAAATCTGCCTGAACCGTGGCAAAGAGCCACCTTTCCTTCATGTCCAATTCAGGCTCCGGCCCCAGGAGTCCTGCTATCAGACCCAGATTAGACCAGGCTCAGGTCTTTGCCACTCCAGCTAGTCTGGAATTAACATACATACATGGGCCCACCTCTGTTTAAGAGGAATCTCAGGACTGGGTTGTAATTTCCTGTTTCCTGGGTCCACTCCGGGGTGGTGGTTTCTGGAAGTTTGTGACGAGCTCACCTGGGGAGGTCTGTGGGGTCAGGAGGGCAGTCCCTGCACGGCCTGTTCCTCTTCTCCCTCTACTATGAGGCAGCTGAGGGCTTAGGAAAGACTAATCTGTCATCCTTCCCCTGGGCATCTTCTGAGCCTGGACCTGGAGCCTTTCACGGCAACAGAAAGACCCTTCCCTGGCATCCCAGGGTCCTAGCCATCCTTTGCAATAAACTTGAGAGAGAATACTTCGAGATTGAAAACACTTCCGCTATTCATATTCAACTCGATCTTTTCAGATGCAAAGAAGTTCATTACCAGACATTAAAAGTAATTGTAAAATTGACCCAGGGATCATTTGTTGAAAAAATGTGGCTAGTAGGAACAGTCCTGATTTATGGAGCCCCTTTTTGGGTGACTCTGAATCCTTCCTGCTCTTCAAGAGAGAACAGTCTCAAGTGAACTAATTTTAATTAGATAAACTATCTAATCAATATGTGAACAGATCAATCAAAACAGCAGCTTTAAAATGAGTGGCTAGAGGGGTGTTTCTGAAGCTAATGGCTAGAAGAATATTTCTCTGAATTGAATTCACTTGTTAGCATAATAGGAGATTAAACTGTAATTAGGAGAGCAGGTTCTGAAGAGAAGCAATCTTGAGTCAAAACAAAACAAAACAACCCACCCACTTCCATGAGCCAAAAAAGCTATGAATGCACATCAATCAGTGGAGAGTTTCCAGGGACATGCAAAGTTTCCTTTTGCTCTGCAGTATTTAAGATGGCTTTTATTTTGCTTAACGGGTGGCTATGCTTTTCTTTGCCAATTCCATTTTCAAATCCACTTCATCTTTGCAGGTTGTTGTATCGACAACAGTCAACGTGGACGGCCACGTGCTGGCCGTGTCAGACAACATGTTTGTGCACAACAATTCGAAACACGGGAGGCGGGCCCGCCGCCTAGACCCGTCAGAAGGTACGGCCCCTTCTTATCTGGAAAATGGTAGGCACATGTTACATGTCTTTTTTTATTTGCGATGCTTCTTTTTCTTTGCACCATCCTTTATGTTGATTCATGTGGCGTTTCTCTCACCGGCCTCCCACCCTGGGTCACAGCCAGGCAGGGTGAGGGCGTGTCCCCACCACGGAGAGGGAAGTGGCCCTCACTGGCTTTCTCTTCCTCCTCTCCCTTTATGGAATCACTGGGCTTCTGCAGTCACCTCACCTGCCGTAGCCATCGTGTTTCTCAGTTTTCTTTTGCTTCTAGCTTTTCTTGCCATTTTAATTTATTTGGTTTTGTTTTGGCTTGTCGGAAGCGCCCATCCAGAAGCTCATCCCCCAGTTACTTGATGCATATCTCAGTGGGTGTTTACATCCTATTCCAGTCAGCTCAGAAGGGCCTGCTAGGACCATTTTCTGTCATTGGATGGAGTGTGTGTGTGTGTGTGTGTGTGTGTGTGTTTGTATGGGTGTGCATGTGTTTGTGTGTGTGTGCATGCTTGAGAGAGGAAGGGGTGGGGGAAAGGCCAGAATAAACTGTTCCTTTTACTAAATGCTTTCAGTTGACTGACTTCTTGTTTTGCTTGTTACAAGAGCAGGGTTTCCTTAAGAGTGGTAGGTAGAGAAGTGTTCTTGGATATCGGGTCAGAGTTCAGAAAGACTCACACGGCGGACCTTATACCAAATCTCCAGTCACATTCTGTCTCCTTCCATGTGCAAGACCTACCATGTAACACACCTCCTTTAAAACGTGATCTGATTTCTCCAGTAACATTTCACATTTCATAATAATCATGAGATTCTGACCAATATGAATTGTTGAGAAAGCAATGGGAGTGGTTTTTTTTCTTTTTTTTAAGTGAATTGCAAACAAATGGTGGGAGCAGATCCTTTGGAGCAAAGAGGTCATAAAACTAAATGGTTTTAAGACAATCTTCTATCCTGAAGTCCCACATTCAAGAACCACACATGAGGCAGACAGGTGCACACACAGGAACATGAATGGAGCATGTGCAGATCACCAGAATGAAATAGGATGCAGACACAAAAACTGGAAGACCGTTTATGAATCTGCTGTGGTCCACAAAAATAGACTAATTTGTTTTTCTACATTAATGACTAAGGTGTAAGAGAACAAAAATATAATAATTAAAGGTCGCCCTGAGCACCAGAGTCATTAGAGTCTGTGACGTATTGTTTATCTCCTTCGTATGCACTGAAGGTAGGTGTGTGTTTTGCTTAGCAACCATCACTAATGAGGTGCACAATTAAGAAGGTTGAATCCCCGATCCTCAGTTCCTCACTTCCCCAGAGAGAGGAGCTCGCAAGGCGATAGGTTCAAGGAGGCCTCCTCAGCCCTCTGGTGTTAGGTTGTAGTCTGGGCCAAAATCAGCCTCCTCTAATGAGCTATTATGATCTGAGCAAAGTACAAGTATTTATTTTTGTAAGTAGCATGAAAATGCATTTGACTGTAAGCAGAAAACGTAGCATTTAGAAAAATAAAGGCCACTAGTGGGTACCTTGGAGATAAAAACCCAACTAATCAAAAGCTATTTGCAGAAGCAGTCTTGCTCTGGATTTTTAAAATGTTTGTCTCTCAATATTTTATCGACGTTGCAGCCAAGTCACTTTCTTGCAAGAGACTGAAACATCTCGTCCTACCCTAGAAAGCGACTGTGAATTTCAAAATGAAAATAGGTGACAGAGGACTAACATTGACAGGTCTTCAAAAAAAAGGCATCTGTCATCCACAGTGGGGTTGTTTTTGGGTTTTGGTTTTTGTTTGTAATTAATGCCTAGTTATCAAGTGCCCTAAAATAAATAACAGGACTTTATACTTCCATTGCTTCCTGAGAGAGTTGGCCCTTAGGAAGTTACTCTAGGCCTGGCCTTCTTGTGCCCAAAGCACCCTTCCTCCTTCTGCTGGGTTAGGACAGACCGCAGGGGTGCATGCTGGTTTTGCATCAGTCCCATATTCTTTAAGGAAAAGGTGCCCCCCAAAATCGCAGCTCTGTGCTTGTGTTCAGCCTCTCCTAGCTAACACCTCATTATCCAATCATCTAATATTCACCAGCAGTGTGTACACACTCGCTGATGGTTTCCAAGTAAACGAATTCCCCCTGCTGCTGGTGTGGATGTCTGCCACGGCGTCCTTTGAGCTCACAAAAAGCAAGGCAGATTATTTACAGTATTGAACACAAGTGAGGGAAAACAACCGTTCTACCTTCCAGCACGACACAGTAGAACTCAGGCTTTAATTTTTTTTCCTTGTCACTTGTCCCCTCGTAAACGACTCCAACCCTGTTTAAACCTTCCGCGAGCCCTGCCCAGCACCCGGCCTGCAGCACAGAAGCGATTTGCATGCCAAGTGCCGTAATGCGGTTAGGTTTATGCAATAAGGACAACTGAATCCAGGCTGCGGGGCTTTAGCGAGTTAAAGCGAACAGATGGCCCTAGGAGAGGTAAAGGTATAATCCTATCAGCTGGAGTATCAGCCAGCCATCTGGACATCCCAAGCACAATTACAAGACATTTTAGCAGGCAGAACAAAGAAGTCTTCATGAGGCAAGATTAGGCCTGTTTGAGTGCCTCAATATTGTGAATGCAGAGGAAGGTGACAAATGCTGTGATATTACTCAAGAGAGCTTGCTGATTAACGGAACCGGGACGGGGAAGCTGTGTACTAATAGAATACTGGGTAGGGTAGAGAGACCCCCAAAAGAAAAAAAAAGGGAAAAGCCAAATATCTTGGTCCACAACACTGGTTTCCAAGTTGAACTGTGTTCACGCTTCGAAATGCTCGCCCCAGCCCCTGGGCTCCCTGGCTGCAAGACGAGCCAGTCCGCCCAGGGCCCCAAGGGAAGGCTGGCAGGGGTCGTCAGTGGTACAGAGGGTCTTCTTAGCGAGGGCCTCTTCTCCCAAGTAGGCCGAGAGGATCCTCAGAGTTACAAACAGGTCATGCTAGCATGGCAGATCTGCAGGGGAGGCATGCCACGCCTCCTTTCTCTGGACCCCGGCAGCCCTGGGCCCTGGGAGGCCAGGCCTCGCGGAAAGCTGCAGGCCGGGTCTGTCTTGAGGGCTGCTGCCCACAATGGACTGGGCCTGGGGAGAGACAGGGGGTGCTGGGGGCTCCCGTTCCCCACCGCTTTCTGCTCCTCCTCTGCCGTCTTCAGCTGCCGGGCCCAGCTCCTGTCATCTGCTCGAGTGTATTGTGCACCGTATATCATTAGATCTCTAACGCTGTCTGTGTAATTCATTTTGCTATGGTTCCCATCGAACACATGTTCCCTCTCTATATGTGCATTGAAATGTATGCAAATGCAGGCAGAAGGAAGATGGCTGTCGGCGGCGGAGGAGGCCAAGACAGGCCCTTCCTTCCACCGAGAAGCCCACAAATTCCGAGATGACGTGGCTTTCCGCAGGGCCACAGCTGCCAGATAGCAATCTCTTGTGCACGCAGTAGATCCTGGATTCTTTTTTTTCTTTTCTCACCTCCAAAGTAAATTTGTTTACTGTAATTTTTTTTTGGTGAATTATTTGCCATAATTGGCTGTGCTGATGAAGGTCACCCCCTTGGAGGAGACTTGTCAGTCTTTAGAGAGCTGATCCTTTTCAAATGCTCTCCATGCAATTAAGAAAAGCAAATGTCATTCGGAAGCCTCAGAAATGAAAATTTGTATGAACTTATTAGCATGAAGTCAACAGCGCTAGTTAAGGGCAGGTTCCCAGTGTGTGCTCTGGGCCTCTGCTGCGGAGGGAGATGCGCGGGGAATGAGCAAATATAACCCCCGCTAGTCCAACATTAAAGCAAACAAAGGAAGGTGGCATGTCGGCGGTGTGCTAAACAACAATAGCTAATGGTGATTAACTAGACAGTGTCTGCACAGTGCGGCGTCTGACCCGTCAGGGAAACCGTGGCACGCGGGCTTCCGGAAGACTTCCGCTTATGAAGACGTGCAACCAGATCTGACCCGGAGTCTAAAAAGATGATTTATCTGAAGCCGAGCTACGCGGGGCTCAGATAAGATGAACAGCCTAATACGTCCTCACGATGTCCTTTGAAGGGCTCTCGTCTGCAGCCGCAGAGTCGTGAGGGAGCGAAGCCAGGGGCTGGAGCTGGCTTCTGTAAGCCACTTGTTTACCAAGCTTCATGACTACTTGTTTTTGAGCAAATAGCCCTCCGCGTTGTTGTGAGCGATGGAAGAGCAACAGAACAGCAAGGGTGCCCCTCGGGCCTGGGGTCAGGTGCCTCACTCTGCAACTTATCTTCATGCCTACCCCTACCCAGTCCCTTCTGTGAGGTCAGGAAGAAGACGAGATGACACCCCTGGATGTCCTGGGGCTTTGTGTAGGGGCTTTCTTCTCTCTCGGGCTCCCACCCTGTGGGTATGATTGTGTCGTTGGCACAGAGACCCGTACCGCTTAGGGAGCCACATAGCCATCCCTGACGCAGGCCCGCCGTGCCCCTGTTCGCCTGAAAGGCAGAGCAGGCCTGAGGGTCTGAGGACAATGGCCTGGCCTGGGCAGCACAGGCCCTGCGGAGGAGAGAGACCCCGAGCCTTTAACCGGTGGTAGACAGGCCTGTGTCTGAGGAGCGCCTCCTTTGCATGGGAGTCTGCGTAGAAGAGGCCGTCAGAGGCAGTTAGAAAGGTCCACCAACACCATGTAAAGGAAGGGCTGATCAAAGCCTGGAACAAAGCTGGCCTCCACCAGGCCGGCAGCCCTCAGCCCTGGCCCTGCCTCTCTGCTCAAGGCTGCTGAGAGCACCATGCTGGGCCTCCTGCCTGGCTGTTTCCCTGGGCTGTGGCCTCTTAGCCCCCCTGCCCTGCCTGCAACCCCCACCCCACACCCTCCTGCTGCTGTCTGTGACGCCCCCACCCATCCCTCCTGCCCCCAGCAGGGCTGCCTCTGCTGCCGATGCTGAAGCACCATTGTAATAACTCATGCAAATGGGAGGGCTCCCGAGACAAAGAGAGGTCAGGCCAGCAGCTCGGGGATTCCTGTCGACAAACAATATTAGATGTAAAATGTGTACCTTTGACAAAAGTATTAATATCGTGCTTTTGATTTTTTTTTCCTGATGAAAAGTGAAAAACAGTAATTGTGGAGTGACCGAGGAAAATGAAGTTTTGAACCAAAAGGCAAAGTTCGCGGATGAAAACACCCAACCCAATTAGCTGCTTATAAGGAATCGAAATGCAAGGCATTTGCTCTTCCATCTCCTTCAACAACCTTTTGATTGACTCTGCTTAGATCTGTACAGCAAAGCAGATAAATCGACATGCCACATGCATGCGATGCTTAATCATTTGTAATAGTCATATTTGCCCTGACACGTAATTTGCTATATCAAGCCATTTTTTTCTCGCCCCCTAGTATTCCACAGCTCGGCTTTTGCTTTATAAAACATTTAATAGTGTGCTTTAAACACATCAACACGCTGATCTACGATTGCCCTTTGCGTGCCACCTGGCGGAGTGGCACGTCTCTCCTCCGGCGGCGGCTGGCGGGGTGCGCGGTGGCCGAGTGGCCCGGTGGCGGAGGCCGGACGCGACTCTAAGGTCAGCCTTCTCTGTCTTGTGTGAGCAGCCACGCCGTGCATCAAGGCCATCAGTCCCAGTGAAGGCTGGACCACGGGGGGCGCCACCGTGATCATAATCGGAGACAACTTCTTTGACGGGCTGCAAGTTGTGTTCGGAACTATGTTGGTGTGGAGCGAGGTGAGCCTGGGAAATCGCTCGGCGTGGCGGCCGCTGTTCTCGTGAATGGTCCTGATGAGCTGTCGATGGGGTGTTGTCACGAGGCACCCTAGGGCAAAATCCCCCTCTAGCAGAGGGCGGGGCGGGGCGGGGCTTCTCCCACGGGTGGGCACAGATCACCCCTTGCAAAGCCACCCTGGGGTTGAAAACCGGCTGTAGGAGTTCCCCCTGTACCCTGGAACAATTAGCGCTAGAATTACTAGAAGCAGGTTTAAGGAGACATATGGTGGCAATTTTCATATGAATGATGCCCTGTGGCCTTTCCTGCAAACTAAAACCCAGGATCATTTGCAGATATTTTTCTTAAAGAACACTGTAGGTCCCGAGTCTCTGGGTGACAGCTAGAAGGGAGCATTCCGAGACGATGGTCCAATTTGTGCTCATTTTGGTAATTATCTCCAACTGGCAAGTGTCCGCCTCTCACGGCCAGCGCTGCTGAATGCTTGTTCACTGTGTGGTTTTTGTAGCTGATAACTCCCCACGCCATCCGAGTCCAGACCCCGCCGCGGCACATTCCCGGAGTCGTTGAAGTCACCCTCTCCTACAAATCCAAGCAGTTCTGCAAAGGTGCTCCTGGGCGCTTCGTCTATACCGGTGAGTTCACATTTCCAACTGCTCTGGGAAAGTGGTGGATGCCCCATTGGGAGACTCCCGTGAGGGCACCTTAGGACTGCAGAGACTGGTGCAGGCTCTGTGGGGGACGAGCATAGCCCCCTCGGCCCATGGGTTGAGTTTGGTCAGGTGCATGGTGCACGATGCTGCAGACAGATGCAACCCCACCACCCTGTGACCTTGAGCACCCCCTTCTTGGTCTGTGAGCCTTCTCACCTGTAAGACAAAGTGGAAGTGACCCATTGGGAGACTCCCGTGAGGGCACCTTAGGACTGCAGAGACTGGTGCAGGGCTCTGTGGGGGACGAGCACAGCTCCCTCGGCCCATGGGTTGAGTTTGGTCAGGTGCATGGTGCACGATGCTGCAGACAGATGCAACCCCACCACCCTGTGACCTTGAGCACCCCCTCCTTGGTCTGTGAGCCTTCTCACCTGTAAGACAAAGTGGAAGTGACCCCCAACTTCCACTGGAGCAGCTGCCCGTGTGCCTGGATCCATGGGGGGGCTCGTCTCATCACTCTGTGCCTCTGCCCCATGATGTCACTGCTTCATGGTTGCACAGACTGAGGCTCAGGGAGATGATGACATCTTGTTCCTAGGCCACATACCCGGTCCGTGCCAGGCCTCCAGTGTAAGCCTTGTCTTTCTTGCTCCAACCTGGGGCCTTAAACCCTACGTGATACTACTTCTTCAGGGAGATCCCTATTCAAAGGTGTGGGACCGTTCATGTCAGAAGGAGGGCGGCCCACGCGGTGACCCACGTTTGTTATCTCAAAGGCGTTCTGTGCAATGCTTTATCCACACGAGTGCTTCATTAGCACCGCTTGTTTAGGATTGCCACTAAGAAATGCCACAAATAAACTTCAACTAAAGAAATGTTTGCATTTTGATTTCTACTCTTAACCAACTCCAAAAGCGATACCATCTGAGAAGCGTTTTTAGCAATGGACAGCACCAGCTGAACCCCCATGAAGGTGACAGGGATGAGTACTTGTTGAATATCTGTGGCTGTGACCTCGTGCATGAGTGGGTGACTTCAGCTTGCTGTCCTGAAGTAGCCTTGAGGGTCGCAGGGGGAGCCTGGACTGGGGGCATGGGGCTGCAGCTTCCACTGCCACCACCGGAAGGATGCCCACTGGGACATGGTCCTCTCCTCTGTCCAGTGAGCAGGTGACATGAGGTTCCTTCCATTTGGAGGTTCAAAGAGGTCGCCGAAATCATTCAACCTCTTCCCTTTTTGGGAGGGGCCGAATAGGCAGGAGAGATGAGGTGTAACCCTGCCCACTGTCGGGCAGGCCCAGCGTCACCCCAGGGGTATGCCTGGATGGTCCTCCCAGAGTTCCCAGAAGCATCCAGCCAACAGCTCAGCACCCTCCATGGGGTCAGGGTGAGAGAGAAGGTGGCTGCCTCAGGTGCCCCAGGCTGGGAGTCGCCTTCTCCTGTGGGACCAGAACGCAAGGGACCAGGAGCCCCAAACCGCCCAAAGACCATGGGGGAAGCGGGTGTAGCAAAAGGTCGAGCCTCCCACTTCTGGGGCCTGGATGCTCTTGGTCTTTGAAGACCCAGAGATGGAGGGAGGGCAGCTCCTCTGGCTTTTGAGGCCCCTGGGATATTAAAAAATGAGGACGTGTCACCCTGGGGCTAAAAAATGGGGGCCTCTTTTAAACATTGATACATCTATGTTGACAAACAAGTGCTTTTGCTGTGCAGAAAAGTCCAGCCTCTGTGGGTGCCAGGCCCCTGGGAGAGGTGAGAAGCCAGATCCTGCCAGCGCCCAGAGGGAGCTCTCTGGCCTGGCCGTTTTCAGGTGTGAGCTGCAGTCACACCCATGCCCGTTTCCACATGCCTCCAAAGGTGAACTCTTGGTGTGGGCACCACACATCCCTCAGTCTCTGACCTGTGAACTTCAGGCTGTGGAGACAGCAGGCCCCACGCAGAGGCCCAGGGTTTGCAGACAGACCCTGCTCTGCTCCTCCGGGTGCGGGCTGTAGGACACATGCATCACGACTCCTCTGGTCCCAGTTCTCTGCTCTACCTGGCGTGGTTTTGGGAAGCGTGGGGGTAACTCATGTACAGTGTCTGACACACAGCAGGTGCTCAATAAATGGTCCTTCCTGTGGAAAGTCACTGAGGGCGAACTTTTGTCCAGGGCCTTGGGAACCCTGTCAAGTCCTGAGCTCCTGGGTAGGGGCGGGGTGAAGGAGTGGAGGGTGTTTACTCTCTGCTCACCAGCCAACGGAGGGGCACCTGGGCTACAGTGGGCACGTGTGAGGCGTGGGCTCCCGTGTGGACTCACGTGTCTGCTGCGTGGTCCCGATGGGTGACACCAAAAGTGAGCCATGTCTGCCCATGGCAAGACTGAGTCGGCACAAACATGGGTGAATAAGTCACTTGTTCTCACACTGGACTGTCAGACCGTCCTGGTTGAACTCTTCAGCATATGCCTTCGGAGGATCCTTTCGTGAGTTCAGATCTTTGCCTACCTGGACTGTTTTTCGGGGGGGAGGAGTCTGCACGGCTGTTGTCAGGAGTGAGACTTTTTGTGGAAGAAGCAGTAGCTGATGCTTTGCCCGTTGTCTGCTAAGGATTCTGTAACCAGTGCTGCAGAGTAAGGCCCTGGGCTGAGCATTTGTAGCCAAACCCAAGTCGTAGGGTGGGAGGAGCTACCTGCCAAAGGCTGCTAGGTGTCACGTGGTAGAGGCCTGCACCGCCCGCGTCCCCTGTCCCCCACCTAGCGGCTCGCCAGGTCCTTGCTCCTGCTGCTCTGGGGCCAGTCGGGGGGAGGGGCGGCTCCCTCTGTAGCCCTCCAGCCTGGTAAGTTCCTTCCTTGGCCAGAAGCACCCACTCCAGTGTCTGCATGTCCGTGTCCCCTTTCCTCCCTCTGAGGGAGCAGTGCACCCCTCAATTAGTTCCAGCCCCCACCTGGCTCATCCATACACCTACCTTCCGTTTCTGCCATGGTTTCTGTGTCCCCTCCAAGACTGACCGAGCTTGTGGGGCACAGGTTCAGGGTCCTGCTGCCCAGGGCTTTGGGTATTTCCCCATGGAGACTTTCTCCTACAGATGGGCATTTTAAGGCGCGGGATTACGTTTTCGATTTTTTTTTTTGAGTTGGAGTCTCACTCGGCCGCCCAGACTGGAGTGCAGTGGCCGCTCCCGGCCACCACACCTCCACCTGCTGGGCTCCAGCGATCCTTCCGCCTCAGCCTTCCGAGTAGCCGGAATTACAGGCGTGCGCTACCACGCCTGGCTGATTTTTTGATTGATTGTAGAGATGAGGTCTCGTTGCCCGGGCGGGTCTCGAACCCGCGGGCTCAGGCAATCCACTCACCTCAGCCTCCCAAAGGCGCGGGATTACATTTTCAATGAAGCTCTTCAGCGAGCTCAGCCTTCCCTAGCTGGAGGTGAATTTATTGCCCACCCCCACACCCCGGTCATTAACGGGAATATACATTTCAAAGGTGAGGTAAGGGATCCGGGCTCTACACTCTCAGGGAGCGAGGAAAGGTGGGGTCATAACCTGTCTGACCTGGAAGCTTCTGTCTGATTTGCATTGCCCCGAAATTGACGGGGACAATGAGGTAATCACCGGGAATTGCACTCCCCACTGAAAACCGAGCTGGCCCCTCTGCACGTCACGACACAGTCGGCGTCCCCTGGGCGTCTGGTTCCCATCAGTGTCCCCAGCCCCGGAGGCTGCTGGGACACCCTTGCATTTAACCTTCCCCGCGCGAGGCTGGCTGGGGGCCTCCAGGCCTCGGGATAATGAACCTGTGCTCAGAGGAGGGGCCTCCCGCCCGCCAGAGCCGGAGAGGGACTTGGCACAAGGCCTAAATGATCTGTTTACAGTGATCTGAGAAACACCAGATTTTTCTGAACCAGACCCTGAGAGTCAACCCCGAGTGGGAAGGGGAAGGAGGCCGGCCCCATCCATTCAGGGCCCTTTGCCGGCTGCTTTCAACTCCCGTAAAGACACAATTACCTTGGGAGGCTGTGGCAGTTCAGTTGATTAGCACGGTGAATTAAAAGAATGAGTCACAAATGACATGTCCGGCGCTTCCATACTGGTTCTTTGTATTCCCAGAGTGCCTCACCCCTGTTGTAAGAAGGTCAAAAATTAGAGAGAGAACAATTTTCAAGCGGCTAGCACTTAGGAGCAGAATTAACAATCACTCTGTATGTAATTGCCAGTTAATAGTAAATTGCCTTCTAGACTGTAAAATGCAATATAAACTGGTGGGCGCCTAAAATTAAATTAATGAGATATTTGCTGCATTTAAAAGTGAATAGTGCAAATTAATAACTGAGTGCAGTGCTTGTTTTAATATTTGTCTAATAGTGTATAATTTGCTTGTTTAATAATAATTAAAATAGTCCCGGAATATCCTACCTGAGAAACTCATAGTTTAGGCAAATTGAGCAGTTTTGCATTCATAATTCCACCGGTAGAAACACATCAAATTGTTAAGAGTAATAAAAGAAATTATTTTTTAAATTAGAATAGAAGCATTACAGTGTTATTTGATTAAGACAGATTGGAATTTGTATGCTTCTAATTGAAATTATGTTATCGCGAAAGCTACTTCTACAGACATGTTTTCAAAGTGTGAAGCATTATGGCACACATGTGTGTGTGTGTTCCTGTTTTCTTAACATGTCCATTTGGCAGAATGGTTTCCTATTAAACAAAGGAACTGAGGCCAGTCGGGGGTGGCTTGACTTTCAGCATAGTTCACAGGACACCAGGGACACGGCTGGGGGTGGAGGCCTTACTGCTGACCTCTTGCACCTGAGTGGTTAGTTGACCCACTCTCATTTTAGAGATTTCTTTTGCTCAATTAAATAAATTATCACAAATCACTGGGAGTCAACATGTTGTCTGCAACAGACTGAGCCCAGTTACTAAAGAAGACATTGGCAGTCGATAGCAAACGCATCCAAAGTGGACACGGGGAGCTCTTGACAGCCGAGTACCTGGACTGT